AAAAATCCTATGCACAATAAAAAAAAAATTATTTTAAAATACATCAAAAAAATAAAAGAAAAAAACCCGGCTCACTTACCAGCAGGCAGGCAAAATCAGCAGAACTCCTATGCGATGGATCCTCGCAGCGATGGATGGAAGCAACAGGGAGCAGGCAGGCAGAGACGCAGCAGGAACAGGTAAGACACTGGACTGGACTGTGGAGGGACAATAAGGCTAGGGTTACTAAGCAGGCGTGGAGGGCGGGGCGGGGGGGGGAAAGCTAGGCGGCGGCGGCTACTGCCAGCCCGCAGCCTCGTTAGGAAAGGCAAAAGCTAGGCGGCAGCGGCTACTGCCAGCCTGCGGCCTCGCTAGGGAAGGCCTTTGCAAGGGAAGGCCTTCCCTTGCGAAAGCTAGGCCGCTGCCACCCACCCGAAGCCTCCCGAGTCCCGCCGCCGGAGTTGCTTACCTGAAGCAGCAAGAAGGCGAAGGCGAAATGAAGACTCGAGTCAAGCAGCGCGAAGCTTAAACTTTTCTGCCCCCAGCCCGCTCACTGATTGGCTGGACTCCCGCCAATCAGTGAACGGCGGCTGGGCTGGCTTAGACTAGTGCGGATGGGCGGGGGAGTGAGCGAGCGAGCTGCAACGCAGCAAAAATGGGAGATCGAGCGAGCGAGCGAGAAGGCGCCAAAATTAAACATGAAAAATCGGGACTTTTTGATAATGACGCAGGACGCGGGACAAATTGTAGAAAATCGTGACTGTCCCGCCAAAAGTGGGACATCTGGTCACCTTAAACTAGACATACCCATTCCTGCAATCATTCCTCATATGTTTTAGTCTCCAGTCCCCTAATCATCTTTGTTGCTCTTCTCTGCACTCTTTCTAGAGTCTCCACATCTTTTTTCCATTGTGGCGACCAAAACTGGATGCAGTATTCCTAGTGTGGCTTTATCACACTTGGAATGAAGGCAAAATATTGCATGTCTTGGGATAATGTTGCAGGATCCAATCTGGGTCGGTCACCGGGACCAGAGGGCTGCAGGATGAGCTCCAGCATGAGTCCGAAGGCTTGGAAAAACTAACTATCTGGTCCCGGTGACCAATCCAGATTGGATCCTCCAAGAGTTAATCTGTTTGGTTGCCTTTCTGTATTATTGCTGATCCAACAGCCAATTACTGATGTCTCGTGAGTGATATACACTAACTGAAATAATTACTGGTGCAGATTGGCAATATGTAGTCTTTATTTAACTTTCATAAATTCAAACCAACATAGATAGTTTTGAGGATTAATGAGAGTTGTAATATAACATGGGGAAACTCTGATAGAAATTCAGGAGCTAGAGACCATCATAATTAAAACTAAATATAAATGGGTAGATTACTTACCTCTCAAAATATATAATATAAATATTATAAATATATTCATTAACATGCACAACACTTTCAAAGTCCTTTTTAAAATCTTCTCGCATATCACCACATCTCCACTAATGCTACTGCTGCATATTCTCAAATGCTTTTCTTGAATCACCATAGAGGCCAGGGACCGCATCCTCTACTATAATGCGCTACATTACAGTACCTGAATTTAGAAGGAACACTACATTATACCTGTCATTGGACATCAGAATTCCCTTTCTATGGAGATAATATCCCATTTTTTAAAAAAAATTCTGCAAAAGAATACATCAGAAACGGAACACAAGCAGGTGGAATATGCCTGCCTGCTCTGCCCAATTGTATTGGTTGAGCTGAAGCTGTGGAAGAGAGATAGTCTTTTAGATAACCACGTCATCAAAGCTTTATAAGTGATAACCAACACCTTGAATTATCTCTGGAAACCTGTCAATATTCAGTGCAGCTCATAGAGCAAAGGTGCTATGAGCAACATGTGTCATGCCCATAATTGCCTGTGTCACTGCATTCATATCCAGCTGTAGTTGAATGGCAACTCCATGCCCATCACATTGCCCAGTAGCCCAGGTGTAAGGTGACTAAAGCATGTGTGGCTTCTAAAAAAGAAGGGTACAATTGAGACATAGATTGGATTTATGTGAACAATTTTCAGCCACGAACAGAAGCTGTGCTTTCATAAAGCTATGCACAAGCCCCAAATAAGCAAGTGCAACTTAGTTCAGGACTAAAGATAAGATCCCTATTGCTGGAGGTGGGGCACAAAACCACACAGCCATCCAGTCTTATCAATGTTGAACTTGGCCTTTTCCTCCCCTCCAGGTTTCCAACACCAACAGCCTCTCAACTGATATCTTTTTATTTGTAACAGACTCCCAAATACAATAACCAGATTTTAAGGACACTGTTTATAAAAAGCATTAATAGTCTTTCCCTGCCAAACACCAGCTGCCTTTCCCAAGTCCTTCTTAGGTACTGTTTAGGTGCACTACAATGAAAAGGGATGTTTACCTGCCTTACCTCCATTGAATTCTCAGAAGAAGTGTGTTGTGATTGCAAAAAGAAAAAAAGAATCCACAAATTTATGATAAATATATTTATATATTTATTTTTCTTTCAAGACAGACACATGTTCTATGCTAGAAAACTGGATGGTCCAAACTGTCTCAGCCTCACACAAAAAAACTCTTTATATGAAAAATACAGATACAGTGTTATAGATTAAGCATTCATGTTAAACACAGGGAGTGAACAAAAATCTCAGTAATGGAATCTGAAACCTTGCACAACCCTAGATGTCAACAAAGATAATTTAGATTACAGTACTAGGAGTACAAATCTGTACTGGGTTCTCATTGGCATAGGTGCCCAGCTAATAACCATCAACCATTTTGGAGGTTTGGAGAGAGACCTGCTGACTGCTGACCTGGCAATGTTATGTTGTCTTGTAAACACTGAAGTATTAAAGTATACACTGATTTTGGCACCGTCATAAGGCACAATATCTTCCAATTAACATATTTGAGGAAGCAGATTGAAGGAGGCACTAAAGGATAGAGGAGAACTGAAAGATAAGTGACCCAGCTTATATTTGGAGACTACAAATGTGAAGTGCTCCTTCTTTCTTTGGAAGGCTGTAACTTCATGCTTGCCTGCTTGACAATTTTAAGATGGGTGGACTTCAATTCCCATAATTATTCAACCACCATGCTGGGGCAGGGAAATTCTGGGAGAAAGCTGGCTGGGGGATTATGGGAGTTGAAGTTCACCCATTTTAAAGTTATCAAGGTTGAGAAACACTGGTCTAGTCAGTAGTGTTCTTATTCATATTTATTGTCTTTTGTCTGCAATCTATCCAGATTCATTAAGGAGCCAATGGCTTCAAAATTTGATAAATGAAATAATAAATAAAAAACATGTCAAGGACAGTTGTTGCTGCGCCTCTGGTGAACCTGTTGTTTGCCTTTTGATAAAGGAGCCAATCCTTCCCAAGTGCACTTTAGAAAGAATCTGAATCAGCAATTCCAATCTCAGACAACAAAAGAAGGAAAGGCCTATGAACACTTTGGGAAGAGAACCCACCTGTACAAAACAAACATTTCAGAGAGATACAAGCAACCTTTGTTCTTAGGGTACATAAAGCAAAGTTTGCACAAATCAGGGCTGTTCCAATGGTGTGCAATGTAGCTGGAATGTGACTTTCACAGCTCTTATGAAAATAAATACAGATAAGAGTACAGGGAACAACCTGACCCAGTAGGTAAGCAAAAGAAAGTAACTTGAAACTTTCCTGTTTGCTGTCTCTGTGCTTCCAAACATCAACAGTTCTGATCCTACTGATTCAGCATGGTTTGATACCAAAAGAATTAAAATCCATCCTGCCAGTACTGGAAGTTTTATAAAAATAATTTGCAGATACTGCTGGAAACAAATCTATTTTTTTAAACCTCTCTCTTTTCAGAAGCTTTGCTTATATATCTATCAGGTATATATCAAACTGGAGTGTTCTTGTGTATTACTACAGTACCTTCAACTTAGTAGTATATCTGAATGTGGATTGTCATATGCTGAAAGGAGGTCATGGAGTGGAAATCAATTTCATTGTTGTAAGAAAATTGGTGATTTCCCAACTCTTCTTATCCTGTCAGGTTGCTTTTTCCCGAGATACCATGCAAAGGTTATAGAGTACCAAAAATATCTAAATAAATAAATATACATTATTTTTATGCTTTTAACATTTACATTTTACAGATAAGTGCATAAAAAATGGGGAAAGAATCTTCCTGTGTGTGAAACTGGGACTATGACAACTCATATATTTTATATCAAGCAAAACTGAATTTGTCCAAGAATATTCAACTTGGGAGAACAACACCTTAAAGCAAATTTACTTACTCAATTGCTGTGAACTTTTTAATGAAAATACAGAGTATGTACCAGGAAATGAGAAATCTATCAATACTTGGAAAGTAAAGGCTGCAATTCTAAATGTGCATAGTGGAATTTATTTCTGAGTAAACTTCGACAAGATCGCACCAATCGATTAATTTCCTTTATAGCTTTCATCATATATAAAATTGGCCAAATTCAGCCAGGTAAATGGTCTTCTTCAACTCCTTTTTCACTAAATGTTAAAGAGTTTGCTGAAAAAAATTATCCTTTGTTATTACAGGGCTTTTTTGGCGGGGGGGGGGGGGGAATAACATCAGGGGATAACATTGTTTAAAAAAATCATTACAATAATTTAAAAGATGTATCCTATCACAAAACGAAACTGACCTGTATAGTCAACACTATTTTTTTTCATCACTTTGATTCAAAATGGAAGAATTTAAAATGAAAACTTCTTAAGAATTTAGATCCAGCATGTGTGTTTTAGGAAGAAGGGAGAACTCGATAGTGCAAAACTATAAGTGTCTTAATTTAAAGGTCCCTTATATGCTTGCCCTCTATTTTTAATTTGGAGTAGTGGCAAAATATATTTATGCATGAGCAGGGCAAGAGGAATCATGAACACTAATTGCCCTGCTAACAGAGAAGGGAAAGCTATACATGCAGAGCTTCCTCTACTTTCTTTAGGTTTTTGGCAACAGATAATTTCCACAGACTCATTAATGAAACACTGCAAAATCACAAGGCCTGCAAGAACCTCGGCCAAGAGACAAGGGATTGGGGGAATCACCTGACAAAACAGCTATTGCATTTTTACTGCCGGGCTGAATGGCCAAGGCAGGTATTTGTCTATTAAGCAAATGTCCCATCGGCACTACTGAATGCCAGGACCTCCTATCACAGACTTTGCAAATTGCCCATGCTGGAGGAGTCTGACCATCCAGTATCAATATATGGTTCGGTTTAAGGGTACCAAGTTTCCAGGGTCACAAAAGGGGTTTTTGATATGTGAACTGGGGTCTGATTCAAACTCTCTGTTGTGAAACAATAGAAAAAGTAGACACACCTTACACCTTTGCAACAAAGATCTTCAGAGGCCTTGATGATGAACCTCATCAAGACTCACAAATGCAGCAGCTGCAGACTAACGAGACAACCTGAGCAAGTGTTGAGGTGAGCCACCGTTTCTGTTTTGAACCAAACCAACAAGCGATGTGCATTGTGGGCTTGGCCAAAGAGTCACTTGTCTCGACTCTTCAATCCCATATGCCATGCCTCACTCTTCAGTCTCTGACAATGAGGACTGCAGCTGCCAGAATTACACTCCAAGAACATCCACTGGAGGCAGGCAGCAACCCTTGCTTACATTAGCCTTCTTGCTTCTTGGAACCACCGGAGTTTTGCATTGTTAGCAGAAGATTGCAAAAGAGCTCATACCAGAAAAAGGTGAAGCCGGTGGAGAAAGCAGCCTTCAGCAAACTTGGGGAGAGGCCCTTGAAGAATCCCCTGGGTCCCTCATCGATGATTATCTGTCGGGCACAGTCCATGATGCTAGTGTATGTTCGAACCTGGAGACACAAGAAGTGAGTGAAGATTCAGGCTGGGTACAAAGTCTTTTCTCCTAGACATAACAGGTCCAGGGGTGGGTTCCGGCTGGCACTACTGCCGGTTTGCTCGTGTGCACGCTTTGCGTGCACGCATGCCCAGTGCAATTACAATTGTTCTGTGCATGCTCAGAACTGAAAAACAAGATGGTGGCGCCAATGGCGCCAACAGGGGAATCATTTCGGGGGCATGGCAGGCCTGGGTCACTGCTGGTTCCAAGGACTCAGGCCGCCAAACCACTACCGGTTTGCCCGAACTGGTCTGAACCGGTAGGAACCCACCAATGATTCAGTCTCATGTAATTGTGGGGGAAAGTCATGGCAAGAAATGTTTATGTCCGTGCTCTCTTATGGAAACTGAAGCACCGCACAGCCAGATTATGCATATGGGTCGCCAGACAGAAAATGAAAAAAAGAATCAGGAGCAGTATACTTAAGAGCTATGGATTGAGATTTAGGGGGGGAAAGCCACCAAAAACTGGCTTGTTGAACAAAAAAGAAACTTAGCACAAACATTTATAACACAGCTTTATTGTGAAAGGGTGTATGTGCAATACTTTGAAAGAAGGTGGTTGAATAAGGGGGTACCAACTAAAGGCAAATATAGGTTGTGCCTTATTATTACATGAACAAGATGTGAAAAGCCTTGAGTTCAGGTGCTCCCACTGCTTCTTCTTCTCTTCTTCACACACAATTTAAAATACTAGGCTCTGTGTATAACAAAGCAATCTATGTCAAAATATGGGCAACTGTGGTTTGCACAAACTGTAGTTCATTCAACTGCAAGCCGAGCAAAAACACAATGTTATAAACTCCACCATTCTGCATGGAACAGGAGAAAGGGGGAGGAGGGAAAGCATCAGTTCCAGGTTCTCATCTAGAAATGGTCGGGGCGGGGCGGGGGGGGCAGCAATGGCTCCATTACAAGCAATGCATCCAGCATTAACTTGGAAGCTACAAGCATCAAAGCCACAAGTTCTCAGTGGTGGGCAGAACATACTTCTAGTAATGTCTTCATCAAAGGCAGTGTTTCCCAACCGTAGCAACTTCCAGGTGGGTGGGACTTCGACTCCCAGAATCCCACAGCCCACATGGCCATTGAGGAGAATTCTGTGAGTTGAAGTCCACACACCTGGACATGACATGGTTGAGAAAGACTAAAATAAGGGCAGGAGAACAGGTGAGGCAGAACTCCTCATTCAGATGTTGCATAAAAAGGGAAAGTCTGGTTGTTTCAGCAGATACACACTACTGCCTGATATACTTGGCACAGAAAAAGAGGAAGGGGGACAATAAAGATTTCCACAAGCCAAATCCCCTCTCACCTGCCCAAAGGCCGCCCTGGCTTGTTCAAAGCCACCCACTTGCAGCCGCTTCTTGAACAAGTCAAAGGGATAGGTCAGGGTTTTGCTGAGGACACCAGCACAGCTGCCGCACACTAAGTTTTTAATATTACCTGAAAAACCAAGAGGTTAGAAGTGGAGGGAAGCACTCCAAAGCTAACACTGATCCTGCCCTTCAAAGCCCTGGACTGGTCAACACAGGAAAAGCCCAAGTCACAGGGCTAGGGTTATCTTTATGAAAAAGCTCTCAATGGGTTCCTATTTACTTACTGATTTCACACTTACAGTTTTGCCGCCAACTGATTTCCAACCTTGAGGCAGCAGACTTTCTAAGCCCAACTTAGACCTGCCCCCTTTTCCCTGCCCAGCTCCACCATTGGCACCAACCTTTCTTCATCTCTTCTCTTGGAGCAATCCAGTTGTACACCCTCTTCAGGAGACTGTAGAAGGAAAACTGGAAGCCGGCATAAGGAACAATGGCAATAATGGTTGGGGTCAGTCCCCTATAGAAAGTCAGCAGCCCTTCCTTCTGGTACATGCTGACCACAGCGTGGCGAAGGTTCCTGTAAATCTAAAACAATTTAAGGAGGAGCATCTTTCTTTGACCATGATGCAAATTTTGCTCTCAGTATAGAAGCCAGATTTCAGCTATGCTGTCAAAAAGCTCCAACTATTAAGAGGTGCCACTCCTGCTAGTTACCAAAAATGGTTATCTATCTGTCCCTTAACACTTTTGGTCATCATTATATGTTTAGACTGGATTTGGCATTTTTCTCCACCTATTGAATCCTTCCCAAGGACCCGAGATAGGCAGATGTTGTTGTTTGATGTTCTTAAAGGCATTATTATCATAGGCACAACATGTGAAGTCACAGGTATCAGTTCATTAGCTTCGTGGTGAAATTCAATTTTTTTTGCTACCAGTTCTGTGGGCGTGACTTGGTGGGTGTGGTCTGGCTTGGTGAGCGTGATTTGGTGGGTATGGTAGGGAAAGGATACTGCAAAATCCCCATTCCCTCCCCAACCTGGGGGAAGGATATTGCAAAATCTCCATTCCCACCCCACTTGGGGCTTGCTAGATGTGGTCTTTGCCGGTTTGCCGAACTACTCAAAATTTCCACTACTGTTTCTACAGAACCTGTCAGAACCTGCTGAATTTCACCCCTGCATTAACTGCTGTTGGCCTTCATAGTCATTGAGTTCTTCTCAAGAACATAAGACATTTTAATATATTGGAAGATCCTAGCAGTATGGCTATTATCATTCATTTTTCTCCTCTGAAGAGCACTCCAGTTGACTAAGAATTTTTTAAAAAGAATATAAAGCTTCGAAAACACATCACAATAAAATCATTACCAAAAGCAATTAACCAGTTAAAAGCTTAACGAGAGAGAGAGAGAGAGGGGGGGGGAGAGAGAGGGAGAGAGAGAGAGAGAGAAAAGCATCCCTATGGATTTTCTAAAGACTGATCTCAGGGAAGCCCCTCTCCCATGTGCCAGGCATAGATCTCTGGCAGCAAAGGCCCTGTGACTTTTTGTCATGACCAGACAATGCTCATGCTACCCTTTGCTCCTCCCATGCAGCTGCCTCTCAACGGGGTACTGAAAAGCAAAATGATCTATTATGCAAAGAACGGTTTCTATGATGCCTATCTGCACAACAGTATATAGACTTGCATAGCTTATTCTGCAGCCATAATACTTTTTCTGTGCAGAAGTAAGCATTTCTGAGCACAGAATTTCAAATTTGTGTAAGAGAAGCAAAGACTGTTCCCACAGAAAACTTAACGTCTGAGGGGAAATTTAACGTGTTTTAGAATAAGGAGCGTCTTAAGTTAAAACACATATTTTCTTAGGTGAACAGTGACTTCTTTTACAGAGCTGTTGACAGATAAAGAGACCTTGACATCTCTCCCACTTTGCATCTGAATACTGCACACTAAAATGGCTGGTTTCAAACATGTTAAGCCAAAATAACTCTGCTTTGGTAAATCAGTCATATTGATCTAATTCCCACATACTGTACATCTTGATGGATGGTGGTTGCCTATTTGTCAGGTTGCTTCCCTATCAGGATTATAGCTTTTCTCAAGATGCAGCTGTTTATCAAAGACTTCCCCTCACTTGTCCCTATCACATGATCTTCACCCTTTGGGACTCTGCATACTTATTTCTCCCTCAGCCCCAAGGACTCCTCCTAGCCTTGCCTGTCAGTTCCCTGACAGATCAACCAAGAATCTTGTGACACATAAAGAAGACAGCTCCTCTTATGAAAGCTTATACCATAATAAATGCATTAATCTCTGTTGCCCTAAGACTCTAAGTGGGAAACAAGTCAGAATGGTGTCATTTCATTAAATAAATACTGTTGGTGTAAAGTAAGGAACCAGAATATTCTCCAAGTAGCAAGAGCAGAATTAATCTGGGTGGTAAATCTTTCATCCATCTCTTACCTTCGGTTCTCCTTGGGCAGCCAAGCGTGTGCGCAACGTGTCAAGGGGCTGAACTGTCACAGTAGCAGCACAAGCAGACAGTCCACCACAGATAAAGTGTACAGTGAAATCACGGGCATCGTAAGTTGTGCCATGGTGCACCAGCTTTGTCAGAAATTCAAAGCTGACAAACTAGGAAAAGAAAACCAAAACAATCAGAAATGCACATATTTGATTTAGGAGAGCCACCAATCACACAAGGATTTTTTTCAAAGAATAATTTCTGTTAATGCATGTGGTCCAAAAATTCAGGTTTTACATCTCTGAAGTAATTCATTAATTACTATTTTTTTTATGCCTGAATCATTTTTTCACTTATTTCATTTATAGGATTTAGGATGGTGGATGTCTCTGAAAGTACAAAAATCTGAACCTTAATAACTGGGCAAACCCTGCCTCAATTTATACTGTTAGCATTCTACGTGAACATATCCAACATTTGAGAAAGAACTTAAACTCCTCAGAATTATATCAGTTTACAAACTAGTATCCAACATAATTAAATAATCAAAACAAGAAGAGGCAGCTGCTGTGCTTCTCATCATTTGGCAAAAATCAACAGATTTTATTTTGCATTTCAGGATCTGGGATGAAAAGTAGCAGGAAAAATACAGCAAAGAGTTTTTTGGGCTCTAAGAGAGGGATTGACAGAGCACAAAGACTGGACAAAAGAAAATAGGATATTACTCTTGTGAAAACATGGAGATTCTGAATTAGTATTTAAAATTACTTAAATTAACTTATTACCTGAACAGAAAGTACACAAAGAAAAGTTAATATGAAATCCCAAGTTTTGCTAAGAATAAATCTTTAGTTACCCCTCCCGAATGATGAATGTATGTTGNGCCATGAACTCCTGCGCTCCATCAGAGTGTTCACCGAGCGAAGGCAAATTGAAATCCCCCAGAACCATAAGCCTGGGGATGTAAACCATTTCAATCAGAAAAGACTGGACAATGCACAACAGGAAAAAACAAAATCTGAAAATATTCATAATAAACGATAAGTTTAATAAAGAAGCCATAGCATGCTCAGATGCCTGTCCATAATCACATCATAAACCAAAGATTCACTTTAATGTTTTTAAGAGACTTCCAGGATGCAAGGAGAGCTGGAGCCTGGCATCTCATCTGAGGAAGAAAGTTCCATAATGTTGGGGCTTCCCTTGGAAAAGTCTGCCTTCTGGCTGACAACTTTGTTCTAGCAATATCCTTAGTAGCCCCTTCTTTGGAATTCAGACTGGATGGGCAGAATCATGTATGGCAAGAAAAATCCCTACAATGGAGAGAGAATCTGAGGTGTATGTTTATATATGTGTGGCATTTGTGTGCTGTTGACTCCCCCAATGATTCTGGGCATTATAATAAGAAAATTATCCAGAAAATTATAATGCCCAGAATCATTGGGGGAGTCAACAGCACACAAATGCCACACATATATAAACATATACACCTATATATATGTCCTATTCAGTCTATTTACCTTACAACCCAGAAATCTCTGATGCCTTCAGAAGCCAAAAAAATCCAATATATAAACTTTGCCATCTCCATGGAGCCATAAACTGATATACAGAACAATGTGGCTAGCTTTATATAGTAGCGTACACTGAGGCAAAAACCAAAAACCACCTTATGGCTTACCATAGTCACCTGAACTTGAACATTGAACCACAAGCCTAGATGAAATACCATTCACAAACCTTGTTTTTGTTAGTGAAGTGAAACTTCATCTTTCCAGGCCAGACTGGATTGAGAAATCCCTTCTCAACAGTATTAACTGGATCCAAGAGTTTGGATGAACTAACCAGGATAGAGAATAGTGTAAGTACAATTCCCTGTATATCCATGACATCAGCTGAAGAACAAGATGCTTGCATTGCTTGAATTAAAGTACAAGTAGTCCTTGACTTATGACTATAATTCAACTCAAAATTTCTGTTGCTAGGTGAGATGGTTGTTAAGTGAATTTTGCCTCATTTTATGACCTTTCTTGCCACAGTGATTAAGTGAATCATTTCAATAAAATTAGTAATACAGTTAATGGAATTTGGCTTCCCCATTGACTTTATCAGAAGATTGCAAAAGGCGATCACATGACCTCAACACCTCAACTTTCATAACTATGACTCAGTTGAATTTTGATCACATGACCAGCTACGACATGGGTGTCAAACTTGATGTCAGCGTTCCAAATACCATGTAGAATCAAATCAGAATCGAAGGCAAAACTATGCTTAAAGTTCCANCACAAAGAAAAGTTAATATGAAATCCCAAGTTTTGCTAAGAATAAATCTTTAGTTACCCCTCCCGAATGATGAATGTATGTTGCTTACTATTTTATTATATGTTTCTATCTTAATGTCTGTATTCCCCCTTCCCGGTTTTGTGTGAGCCGCCCTGAGTCCCCTCAGGGAAAAGGGCGGCCTACAAATACTAATAAAACTCTAAAAAACTCTAAACTCTAGTCCCAGAGTCATAACATTCCATATTAACAACTCAATTGCATCATATTAATTTTTTAAAAAGTCAGTTTTTGAAAAGAAATATAAGAAGGCAGCTAAACAGATCACTCTGGAAGTTAAGAAAATTGTCAGTTTTCAGGCTTAATAGATAAAATATTGTTTGATTCTCACCTGCACAGCCCCATATGTGATGGAAAGAAGTTGAGCGGGGACATGACCTTTCCAAAATGCAGTGACCCCTTCCTCCTGAAAAATTTTACCAGCAGCCTGCCAGATACCATGATACTTCGCATGTGGATTTTTGGAGGAAAGCTGCTCTATCTGAAGCTGAAAAATGACAGCATGAGTAAATTTCTAATTCTTATCTGGAAAATTTAAGTCTCCAAAATATCTTTGGGCCATGATATTTATCATCAGAAAGTGTGATATTGTCTGATATATACTTATTTATCTGGAAATAATCACTATTTATCCTGGCAGGAAATATATAAATACAGGTAGTCATTGACTTACAACTGTTCATTTAAAGACTGTTTAAAGTTACAAGGGCACTGATAAAAGTAACTTTTTTATTTACACTTATGACTGCTGCAGCAAAATCGTCATTTACATTCAGATGCTTGACAACTGGTTCATATTTATGAAAGTTGCAGTGTCCAGATGTCATGTGATCATCTTTTTTGACCTTCTAACAAGCAAAGTCAATGGGGAAGCCAGATTCATTTAACAACCGTGTTACTAATTTAACAATTGCACCAATTCACTTAACAAATGTGGCAAGAAAAGTCATAAAATGGGGCAAAACCTCTCTTAGCAAATTTCTCACTTAGCAACATAAATTCTGGCCTCAAGTGGGGTAGTAGGTTGAGGACCTGCAATTACTTTGCTACTTTAGAATAGGCATAGACCCAACCTAGCCTTCCAGCAACTTCTATCACCTGGAAGGTCGAACATACAACATTGGCCTCTAATTTCAGAAGGTTCATCCCAAATGTTGTGCCAATTAGAAAGGGAAAATATTAGACTACAACATCTTCCCCAAAGCTTAGAATATATAGAAAGAAAAAGTTAATCATCTTTTAAAGGGGCCAACATATTTTTTTTTTCAAAAAACAAACCCTGGAGTAAAAAGGCAAACCTTCAAAAAGCCCTAGGTAATAATCATCGGGCTTCCTTACCAAAGCTGCAACACCCAAGGAAAACCACTACACTAAGTTGCACAATACAAGCAGAGAAGCAGCGATGCTAGCTCAGGCAGGAAGTCATTCCTCAGATGCTGGTGGAAGTCCATCTCAAAACCCAGATACATCAGGAAAGATTGCCTTCTACCTTCTCCTAGAAGCCACCTGCCTCCGATTCCATATACCTATCAGAACTACCATAGTAGCTCTGGATTGCTGCATCAGTGCCTTCAACTGAAGAACCACCTTCTGTTCCTTTACCTGAATACCTGACTCTGTGGTTTCTTCCCCAAACCCCCGAAACTTTAACCTTAGACTGTCTACCTTCGACCTCACCCCATTCCAAAGAGGTCTTTTAAGGGGTGTGCATAAGCGCACCAGATGCCTACCGACCCTATCTTAATATTCCCTTGTATTCGTATCCACTTCCTGTAATCATAATCATGATTATACTTATATGTTATCTAATGCATGCTTGAAGAAATTTTAAAAAAATCTTCAGCTGCGTTTCTGTCTTGAAGCAAACATTATGCAAGCAGCAGAGGGGGGAAAATAGCAGGCTCTGTCATTAAATTAAAGAACTTCTGGAAATGCAAAGCTAATGGCCAAATCAGCTCCTTAGATAGAAGAACGGAGGGTCCACCTTCAACCACCTTCTTCTGGTTGATCCAACGTCATAAAGAGAATACCTGAAATCGAATCTTCAGCACATCAAAAGGGCCGATCATTGCCCGAGTGACCAATCCGGAAGCGGATCCTGCCGCTGCTACCTTCAGAGTCGACAGGGAGCTACACTCGGAATCCGGATCATAGCCAACCATCCCTACCAGGTTTACGGACCTTGCTCTCCATGCACGAGTTCCCCTGCGGGCACCAACACTAGAGGCAAAGAAAGTGGGGGGGGGGGAGCTTAAGTTACAGCTGAGACACCCCCCGGGGGGGGTTGTCTTTACAAAGAGAAAACAGTGCCTCTGAGCATGGTTAAAGTTGCATTCCTTGCAGCACTGAAGAGCCCCGCGGCGACTCTGCGTGACCGTGAACCGAGCACGCGTCGTCTCCTCCATCAGCCTGCCCGGCGGCTAATTTTGTGGCTGCCTTGCAAAATAGACACTCTGCGACCCGCGACCCTCCCTCCCCGGGACCCTCCTTCGGCTCCAGCGAGGCTCACCCAGAGCACGGCTTCCCACGGCAAAGGGAACGCGGCGACCAATCGGACGGTTGGCGAGGATTCAAGTCGGCTCCGCCCGAGGACCTGGCGGCAGGTCTTGAAGGACGACCACACGCGGCTCTCGCTTTGCAGGGCAGCCGCCGGGCTCTCTGGGAAATGTAGTCTGCGATGCTGTGACGCCTGAGGAGGGAGGCGGGAGAAAAGGGGGAAGCGAAGGTTTTTCTTTTAAAAAGGCTCTGATGAACGGGCACAGGTGGACGCATTTTAAGTGGACTGGGATAGCTTTCTTTAAAAATAGCCAAAGAAACCGCACAACCCGGAGAAGAACTAAAATACACATCCTGCTGGACGCCACTCCCCGGTCATTTATTCTCGTCGACGATCTTCGGTAAAAAAAAGTCTCAATTTCTCTGGAAATATCTGTACGTGGGACGGCACAGCAAACCTTTCCGATGTTCTAGTTGCAGGGATGAGAAATAAGGGAGGTGTGTAAAATTCCCTGTTTCTTGTGCGCTTTTTATTAAGGCTTCGCAGTATGAGCAACTTTTTGAAGACGCC